ATTCGGCGGCAGCCGTGAGTATGACACTCTTAAAGAGCTCCACTCGGTTTCAACAACAGTTGTCATCCCTGGGATCTGTTAAAACCGTCGTACGGTGTAGTTTGCAAATTTCGCTCTCGTGTCCACCGAAGATTATGTTTCCCATTTGATTCTGCGGTTGCTTCTGCCATCAGATTTTCGTATTGTACTCCATTTCTTACAGCGCTGCGTGCCAACAACAAGGTGATGATCGGTTGATAGCTCTGCGCATCTCTTAACATCCTTTACAGAGCGTCTTAAGTAAGACGATACGATTATCAAATCAATTATCGACTTCAGTGCACAAGCTTCTCGGTACCAGGTGTACTGGTGCACTTTTCGATTCTCGAAGAAGGTGTTCATAATGGATAATCCGTTGTTTGCACAGAACCGCAACAACTTCATGCCGTTATTGTTAATTTTGCTAGATGCGTTTTTTTTCCAATCACGCCGTTCCTCTTTTCAGCGTCTACATCGACGTGCGAATTGAAATCGGCGATCAGTATGAGGGACTCTGTATTCGGCACTTCGGACAGAGCACACTGCACCTCCTTAAGAAAGGTCTCATATTCTCCTTCCAAATTGGGCGCATAGACCTGTACCACGGTCATCGATTTAGCCGGTTGTAGCTTCCGTCTGAGGAAGCCTTCCAATGACAGGCTTCTAATCGATAATTCTGTGTTCAAGGTTGGCTTCTATCAGAACGCCAACAGCTGTTCGAGCACGAGTCGTGATATCGACTCCTGGGCAGAACAGCTTCCATCCATCGAGGTTCTGGAGTCCAGAGCCTGTTTCGTTGACCAGAGTTCAGCTAATTCTTGTTTTTTTTCATCTGAGTGAGGATATGTTCCATTTTAGCGCTCTCTGGTTGTGGTGCTCTCGTGGAGCGTTTTCTGGCGTGCTCTGTTGGCGTTGCTCTGTCTGCCTCGTCCGTTCAGAGTGGGTAACACTCCGTTGCTGATTGGTTTCTTGGTCGTCGTTCCGTCGGTGTTCGTCAGCCATCGTTGTGCTGCTACGCCCTCGGCTGGCAGAAGGCAATGAGCAGGTTCTGATTACCGACTTTTCGCACTCTGCTTCAGTCCCCCGCGGCTTGCGCGGCCCTTGGTAGCCCGGACGACGGCCGAGCCGGCATGATTTTTGATGGCGTCAATACCATGAGTGGCAGGTGGCATAATTTTGCGGAGACTTGCCTTTGTCGTCAACCCTCTTCCTTTCTGATCCGGGCTTGTTGCCGGCAACGGCGGAGTTGGAATAAATTTGTTAATTTAGTTCATGACAAGTTTTAATACGAAGTGAAAGAGTTAAATGCAGTGGAACTGCTCATGCACAGTAGGTGGTTTATGTTGAGACTGGTGTTGCTCAATCGGTAGAACGTCGGATGTAAAGCTGACAGGTTTCGGGTTTGTGCCCCGTCATGTCATCATGCTTCACGAAGAGAAGGGCGGTATAAATTGTCCAATCATTAAAGTGTTAGAAATACCGATGTTTTACCGGATACAAACTTTCCTTCCTTTCTCCTTTTTCGAGCCAGTTGTTG